CATCTCTCTACTTCTGTGCAAACATTTGGAGCTGCATAACTTTTGTCCCATTTGCTTTATATCTGTGTGTTCTGGTGAGATTCCCAGGTATGCATGAGAAGCCGACTGTTTTGGTGGGACTGACAACTCCGAGTCTGAGGATGATGGGGAGTTGGCTGACCCGGACAGGGCTGAGAGATTGAACTCTGATAACAGAATTGTTGTAACAGACAGGTCTCTACCTGCAGCCCCCATTTCTTGGTATCCATCTGTGTCTGCTCAAGATGAGTTTAGTTCAAGGGCAGCCATGGGACCCAGTTCACCTGTCTGGGGGAATGAGGAAGAACAACAACAAGGGTTCCACAGCGCCCTTCCTTCCTGAGACAGGCCCAGAAGGGTTCATAAGCAAGCTTTGGGTAAAGCGGGCAGAGAGGGTTCAAGCTGTCATGAGCCAGGTGTTTCCTCCCCAGCAAGACAGACCCTCCAGCACTTCTTGTAAGCGTCTTTATTCTGCACAGAAGTCTTTGGGCATACGCGAAGTGAGATGTTGAAGCCTCTCTGCCCTCCTTTATCCGAAGCTTTGCTTATGAACCCTTCTGGGCCTGTCTTGGGTAGGGGGAGTGCTGTGGAACTGGGTGCAGCTGCTTTCTGCATTTTGAGGCCCTAATTGGCCAGCCTGTGGCTGTGATGATGGGCCTTTGGGTCCACCTCCTCAGGAGGCTGGAGTTCTCCATCCGAGAGACTCGGATCCATCCACATCCCCTCCTTCCAGATCTCCTCCTCCTCCATTCCCACAGATGGGTGGACTGGGCCCCATGGCTGTCTTTGGCTGTCCTTGATCTCATCTTGAGCAGGCACAGATGGGTACCGAGAAGCCGGGGCTGCAGGTGGAGGCTGTCTGTTACAACAACAATTCTGTTAGCAGAGTTTGAGCTCTCGGCCCTGTCTGGGTCAGCCAGTTCCACATCAACCTCAGTCTGGGAGCTGTCAATCCCACCAAAACAGTTAGCTTCTCATGCATACCTGGGAATCTCACCAGAACGGGAGCGCATGACAATCAGTGCTTAAGGTGTGATCTTTGGAGAAATGCTCTGAGCCTGGGAATCGAGGCATGGAAGCATGCCTGGGCATCTTGGAATATAACCACCTTTAGTTTTCCCATTCTGAAACTACAGTTCTAGGCGCATATACTCAGGAGGAACTCTCACTGAGTGTTGTGGGTTTTCTCCTAGCGATGTGTGTGCAAGACTGCAACTATTCAGCACAATGGGATGTGTACTGTGGACAAAATCACATTGAGTCCCATACAGTCTTGCTCCCAAGTATGCTAAAGCCTGAAACCTTGATTCCTAAGTTCTGAAGCACTGCCTTTGCCTGTACCAGCCCTGCTTATAGCTGAAGCCAGTGGCCAAAGTGCCTCTTGTTTACTTACCTTTGAGAACAATCCGACTGGTGGGCATGAGGAGTAGAGCTCTTTCAGTGATGCCACCACACTTATGGAAGTCATTACTGGCTAGGAATTGGGTGAGGCCCTGTCTTTGCAATCATTCAGAAAAGTCCTAAAGATGCATTTATTTGCAATGACCTTCTCCTCAGGGTTTCCTTGATGCTTGATGGAATCCGTTTTAGTGTGTGATTGATTTTAATGCTTATATTTAGTTTTAGTTCTATTAACTGAGTTATATTAGTAGATATGAGATGTTAATTGTGTATTACTGATGCTTTATGACTTTTGTAAGACATCTTCTTTTGTGACATAGGCAGCCTATAAACAGAATTAAATAAATGAAATCATAAAAATGTTTATTTAGAAGCAGCCTCCATTGTCTTTTGCAGGATCCCTGCTCATTAAATGTACATGGGGACATAGCCTTAAAATGCAATTGTATGCACACTTCCTTGAGAATTAATCCTATTGAGCTCAATGGGACTTACTTCGAAGTAGCTGTATATTAGGTCACACTGTTACCTGGAACTGAATGTCTACTGACTCAGTATTTATAAAAATAATGAACTAGTGTGTAGCTGCTGTGAAAATGGAACACTTTAGAGGCCTAGTTAGGAAATAAAACGGCCAACATCACACTACCTCTGTATACAACTATGCTGTAATAAAATACTGAATACAGTTCTGGTTGCGGCACCTAAAATAGAGTATTACAGAGCTGGAAAATGAGAAAAATGCAATTAAAATCATAAATAAAATGGAGCACCTCAACTGTAAGGAACGGTTACAACATCTGGGATAGTTTAGCTTAGGAAAAAATCAAAAGGAGACATGATGTGGGTGTGCAAAATTGTACATTGTGCAGAAAAAGCGCATAGGAAGTATTTTTTCTCCCTTTTTCATACTGTTAGAATCTGAAGTCATCCCATGGAGTACTGGAGATTCAGGATATACAAAAGGAAATAGTTTCTTTCCATAGTCCAACTATGGCATTTACTTCCACAAGATTTAGCAACGGACATTGGTCTGGCTGGGTTAAAAGGGGACTGGACCGATTTCTGGGAGAGAAGGCTCTCAATGGTGATTCATCCTGATTGGCTACATGCTGCAATCACTATGATTTGCTGGGGAATATGGTGGGGATGCCACTGTTGCAATCATAGCCTGCTCCTGGGTTCCCTCGGGCTGGTATAACCAGCTGGTGTTAATAAAAATTCTGAACCAGAGGAATCTTTGGTTTGATCCAGCAAAGTTATTCTTATGTTCTTATGGTCTCCCACCAAAAGCCCTCTCTGGCTGCTCCTCTCATAAAAGTCGGATGATTTAGGAATGTAGGAAAAATACATTCAGTTGGTATTTTAATATAAATATTAAATTTTTGAATATTTTGAATCAATATTAATTTTGAATTTCTGAACCTATAAAGCAGGGTGGGCAATGTAGGAAGGTTGAGAATTGTTTTTGTTGACAACAAAAGGGAGAAAAGAGGAAGGGAGAATAATTTTTTTAAAAATGGTGACCAGGGCTGCAACCAAGTGCCAAAAGGGTTAACTTTAGTTTGCAAGCAACCTAATTTTGTTTTGTAAACAAATACATTTTCTTCAAAATGATCACTTTTTCACATTTTGCAATGAAATTTCCCAACTAAAAATGCATACAAAACATGTATATTTGGGAAAGTTGGCACAAACATGCATATAGCAATGAAAATAATGTGAAAATTAGTTATATTAGTGAAATTTCCTAGTAAAATGCATATATTAAGTAAAACTGTACAAAAGAAATATGCATGAAAATGTGTAAGAGCTTTTCTGTGACCTTTAACTAAGAAATCCTTTGAACTTTCGCAGAAACATGATGAGCCATGCTTAAGAAGGAAAATGAGAAACAGAGAGAAACCAAAACAGCCAGAGGCATCCATCCTTTGGGGTTTCAACCAAGGCAAGGTCTTTTTCATCTGTGGCCCTTCTGGTACAAAATGTCCTCTCCAAAGGAGTACACCTGGCACCCATCATATTGCACTTCAGGTTAACACCTTTTTCCTCCAGCACTTTAGTGAGTTGACTTTTGTTAAGAATGAGTAGTTTTTGTGAGCATTCCAATTTGTTTTACTGTTTATAGTTTGCATTATCATTATTGCTTTTATGTCATCAGCTTTAGGGCCATTGAAGGAATAGGAATACAGGCCAGTAAGCTGAGTTGCCGGAATTGTTTTCTTCTTTCAGTTTACAAAGGCTGACTAGGACAAAAACTAACGCCTCTGCTTAGCTACCTGATCTTATTCAGGTTTACTTAAGGAAGTGTGCTTCTTAATGCCTTTGCAGTCCTGTTTTTAAAAGCAAATCACAAAAAGATCCCCTCAGTTAACAAACTATAAAGGACATCCATGTGAAAAGAAAATTCCTTTATTCTAGAAGATGGGGAGGCTCTTACATAGATTTTTTTTAAAGTTAGCTTAGCTTTTGTTTTCATTTTCCTTTTTCTAAGACAGACATGAAACGACTCTGGCATTTACTCTTAGGACATCTGAATAGTTATTTATTGAGAAGCCACAGTTCTCACACTTTTACAACTGTCGGCTTGTATAAGGCAAAAAAGCAAGATGGATACACTATATTACACAGAAAATAAAAGCTTCTGGAAGGTAACGGGGAACCCAAGGACATGCAAGTTACTGGTCCAAATGCAATGTACATGACAAGATATAAAAACCATTGTGAAAACAAAAGGAGATTTAAATTATGGTTACAATCTACTAAAAGAAATCTTCATATATTGTTATTATTATTACCATTATTATCCTCATTATTATAAACACATCTGTATAGTCTAAGATTGTAATTAAAGTTGTCTTTTTTACAAACACAGTTATCGGAACTCTGAACAAAAAGTGTAACATTTAGAGGGGTAAGACATTGACAGAAAACAACCGCTCTGAATCGTAATGTGGACATGGTGATAAAGATCAACCTCTTGTGGCGATATGGATGACTAGTATTCCATTGGCATGTCACTTCTACAAAGTTAGCTGTGTATATTGAGGGAAAGTGCTTGGGTATATTAAACAGGAATAATTCCAACTTCTGTTTTACATGTTTTTCCCCCCAGGTGTACAAAAAGTGTCATTTGTAGTAGCCTCACTCTTTTTTGAAGCAGTTGGCATCCACAGGAGAGAAACAAAGATATGAAAGTACTTGTTTCACTTGTATTCACAACAATTTTACCATCAATGTATATACAGTACATTAATGAAGCATCATTTATACTTTAATTATAACAGGGACACACCTAGCATGTTTTCTATGCAGAATTTGTTTCTGTTAACAGTTTTAAACAATGGTGTTCCATATTGCTTATGAACATATAGATATGAAATTAGGAAACTCAATAAACCAAAAGAGAGGTGCTAAATCTTAAGTACCACACGGCTAAAATGGCAATTGTATTGGTAGACTTTCCATGGGCATTTAGAGCGGACAGAAAATTTCCTAATGTGGCTAACTGAATAACAGACTAGATTACATGCACTGGTTTCCAGGCTACATCCAGGTTGGGGGCCTCTACATCCAGAAAGCTAATCATCCTCTTCATCCTCTTCATCACTGTCTTTCATGGTGATCCCTTGGAGCCCTCCACCTTCACTGACAGAGGCTGTGGCTTCTTCTACTGTCAGCCGGTTTCGTACTGTGTCGTAGGTTTTGCTGTTCAAGGTGGAATCCAGAACTCCTTGCAATCGAAAATCTCTGTATGTTTTCTAGACAGAGGAAGTTTATGTTGTGAAAGTGAGGATAGGAAGCACAGAAAATGATAGAAAATGGGATTTAACTGACTTTCTCCTCAGACATGGATATTTTATACTGTATTTTGGCCATGTTTTACACTTACCCTGAAGGGGGCTGCTGAAGAAAAAAGTTTAATAGTTAAGCTTATAATGTTGGCGTTCTGAATATAAATATTAATCTTGATGCAAGAGGCAAGATTAAGGGTGCAATTCTGTGCATGCTTTGACAATAAAAAGTCTGCAATTCTATAATTTTATAGATTATGTATAATTATTTTTGTATTATTGGTTGCTTTAATTAGTGTAACATTATAGCCCCTTCTTATTCTATTCTATTTTATTTTATTTTCTCTTATTATTGTTATTAACTGTTTATTTACTTTGGCTGGTTACTACTGATTTTATTGTCATTATTGATTTCATTGCACTTGCTGATTTTACTGTATTGTATTGTTGTATCGATTATATTGTAAGCCACCCAGAAAGCCTCATCACTAATCAGATAGCAAAATAAATAAATAAATAAATAAATAAATCTGGCCATAGTTGCAAACAGATGCACAGTTTGTTTATCAAAGTGCACTATAAAAATTATCTGTCTACAAATAGTTAGTCTTTGTATTTCTCTAACTTTAGAATCTTTTTGATCTTACAGAATGCAACTGCAATTTAAAAATGCACTTGCCATTTGACATCCTGAAAACTTTTAAGGGTGTTTGGCTATCTTACTAGCTTACACAAATTGTTAAAATTTGCATTACCACATAGATCAGATGGCATAAAAGACATTTTCTATGCGTTTCAGTGCTCCCCAAACTAACACATAATAATAATGTGATGATACCTATTGCTTTTATTTATGAAAATTAAAATTCTTTTCATAATTTATTCACGCCTTGATTATCAGAATGTACAGTTCTACTCTTCAAGAAGATGCATGACACAGAACCAAAATGATCAAATATGTATTTACCTCCTCCTGTTATCTTATTATTTCATGTAAGCCACTGAGATTTCACACTGAAATAATTATCAAATGTTCAACATGTGTGCTTGTGCACGGACACACACACTCGGAGAAAAGAGGATACATTCAGGATATCTTGTCTCCCCTTTGCAATCCCTTTTAAAAGATTGTAGACACCTGCTGCAAGGGGGATTATTTCAATTAACAGTAGGCATAATTCTGACTTGAATTTTCAGCAGCAACCTCAAAGACATTAGTGGTGAAGATTTCCATCTAACAAATTTGCATATGTAAATGCCCAAAGGAAATGTATCATTTGGTACCATCCACAGTTTGTCGTTTCAGTTAAACACAGAGGACTGTCCCCCTAGTTGGGGTAGGGAATGATGAAGCGTGGGTCACCCCTGGGTGCAGAAGACCAGCTAGCTCTGGCAAAGGCCTTGTCTCCAGGGCCGAACCTCCTGAATGAGGTGGGGCCTCCACAGAAATCTCCAGTTGTTTTTCTTGCCTTCACATCCTTACATGTGTGGCCCACCACAATTTCCTCTGCTTCAGCTCCAAGCAGGAATCAGTTTCATTTTAGGATTCTCCCATTTGGCTCAGCCATGGCCCCACAAGTCTTCACTAAGGTTCTGCTATCCTTAGTGGCATTACTATGAACCAAGGGGGTCCAGATCCACCTGTGACTGGATGACAATTTGATCTGCTCCCTGACACTGGATTGCAGCCTACAGGACATCCAGTACCATGCTCTCAACATTGTGGAACCTGGATTTCCTGGTCAAGGAGAAGAACAGCTGTCTCTCCTGACCCAGACCGTCCTTCACCTGAGGGTGACCCTGGACACTTGGGGGAACAGTGCAACTCTCTCCAACCAGATAGTGGGCCATGAGCATCCTGGCTGCCTGCATTCAATCCTAAAAGACTGTGAGCCTCAAGAATCTAGCAATTGGGCATGAGGGTCTCCTGTCCAGATTCCATGTGTTGGGCAAAATTTCACTCCAGGCTCCTCCAGACTTTCCTGCAGGAGTTCTAGATAGAGATCACACTGAATTGTAAGCGGACAGTCTTCCTGCCAAGGGAGGTCTCTCTCTCCCACTAGTGGTTGCAGCCAACCAACCTAGCAGAGAGTATCCCCATTTTCAAGCTGGACTGCATCATCTTCACAAGGAACACTTGCTTCTACAGCTGAAGAACCATCATCCGTGAACAACCCAGTCAGGCACACTGGTCCAAGAAGGAATTCCAGTTGTCCACAAACCTGCTGAAACTGAGGGTGATCCGTGTAGCTCTCCACTACTTCTTCCCTTTGATAAAGGACCAGGACAAGCTGGGCTAAATGGACAGTACAATGGCCACAGCCTATATCAACAAGCAAGGTGGAACTCACTCCAGGGGGAAGACCTGAAGTTGTTCCACTGGGCAAGGATACAGCTCCAGTCCATCAGGGCCAAGCATCTGGGCGAAATCCTGAACGTCCAAACTGATGGCTCAGCTGGACTTCCCTGGACCCTGTACCCAGAAGTCTTCAAAGCAATCTTGCAGCGGTTGGGTGCTCCCTACCTTAATCTCTTTCCCACGCTACAGGATGCAAAACTCTCTGAATTTGTCACCCATTATCAGTATGCACAGAGGACGAAGTGGTTGCCCTGCAGTTCTCATACAAGGGCACTCTCCCTGAAAAGGCCATTGAGGCATCCATGACCCCAACTAAATGTGCCAAGATACCCACAGGAGCTGGCACACCACTGGAGGTGTAAGCCAGAACTGCCGTGGGAAGAAAGGGGAGTCTACTGAAGCCAGCAGTTTATCCAGTTGAAATCTGACTCCAATGCTTAACATGCTACATTTGCCGTGTTCACACAACATGACAAGCAACCCTGTGTGGTTACCATGGTTCATGAGTGTTTACCATGACCAACCTGACAATCTAGTGGTTTCTACTTTATTGTGGTTTCCATCATCTCCACTCAGTCCTCCCCCTGTGGACATGTATCCCATCATGCCTGAAATTCAATCCCAAGGTGGATTACTTCCTGCCTGTGTTGCCTGCCTCTTCCTCACTGGTCTACACATAGAGTCTGGATGGTTGGAGCGGCTCCTGCAGTTGCCATCCTTTCTGGAGGATCTGCAGTGGTCACATACCAGGACTGTGGAAACTATGCTCCTGAGTTCAGACAAAATGACAAACAATGGTAGCACAGAGAAACCACAGAAGAAACTGTGGTTTCTAAAGACTAATCTTACCTGGCGAAATACCACGACTAGGATCAGATAACACAACAGACCAATAATGCTGAAAAACCACCATAGCTTGTTGTGCTCTCTGAACCCAGCCACTGACAGCTCATGACAAAGGCCTCATTCAGCAAAAGGTCTCTCAGTAATTATTCTTTGCCTGGGTTTCCCAGTTTTGATTTTGTGCTGCTACTTCCCATTTCACTCTTTGTGTGCAGAGAATGTTTCCTCCAAGAAACACAACACCACGCGTAAGACAGCCAGTATGGCAAAGCAGTTAAGAGTGATGGCCTGAGACACGGGAGAGGTGGATTGTATCCTTCACTTGGCTGTGAATCTCACTGGGTGAATTTGCCCAGTTCACTGACTCTCAGCCTACCTATCCACATAGGTTGAGAGGATAAAATAGAGAGGAGGATTATGTATAAGCTGCCCCGTGTTCTTTGTAGGAGAGAGGGTGGGGTATATATACAAGAAACAAACAAATATATTGCACAGACTCACCTTTACTATTCTAATAAGAGTTTTCAGTTGATAGATGTGAAGCTGAAGGTCCATGCGGTCTGTGAGCCAGGTGCAAATGATGTTCATGGAGCTGGTGTACCATTGCTGCAAAACAAGCGAGAGATCTCCAAGGGGCATGGCAAACAAGGGAAACAGGATGTGCTGCGTATAAACACAGTCCACGGGCAATCAGGCTCTATCAGGCGTTTCAGTTCAATCATGGAAACAAGATGTACTAAGAGTAAAAATTTTGGCCATGAAGGTTCAGGAATTCTTGTCTAGCACTTCCTTGAGCACTCTTAAAGCCAAAACAGACATTAACTTTAAATTTGTATCTAGCAGCTCTCTCACTTTTTTATAGTTACTTCAGAGTAGAACAGGTGCAGGCAATTTATTCAGACTTAGTTCATACTTTAGCATGAAGGAGTAGGGAGATAGGAGATCAGCCCCTGCACTGATTTGACTATAGATTAAATTGAAAGTATAGACATAGCTGCTAGATGCAGATTTAAAGTAATGTATGCCTTGGTCCTTAGAAAACAACCTTGAAGGCATCTTTTCCAGGTATTTGCTTTGGACTTTGTTTCCAAATTCTTAAAAGGTTCGAATGGGGGATAGCAACTGATCTTACTGCTTTTTATCTGTCAGTCTCCCTTGCAGCTGTTCAGTTTCAGAGAGGGAGCCTAGGGGGGGCCATGAGCTTCACAGTCCCACTGCTTAGGCAAACTTGCACAACATTCCAGGAGAAGGACGCAAAGTATACAAATGTGTGTTCCAATGGTGGGAAAGGAACCTTTGAAAACATTTCTGCAAACTTTTATACGACCTAATTGGAAAATAAAAACATGTGGTCAGGGTGCAAAGTGCATGCACAGCCCTTCTTCTGAACCAAACTCCAAGGACCCATTGTAAATGTGTGCGACATATAAATTCGCTTCCACACACAGCCAAATCAGATTCTTGGAGGAAAACCGAGGCCTCATTTCTTAAGCGGCAGGGAAAGGGCACAATTTGGAAGGGAGGAGGCATAAACAGGGAAGGAATAACACTTCAATTTTCTGCCACTTCTTGTGGGCGCTTTGCTTCAGCCAAGGATCCCAGATGAATCTGCTGCCTCTGGGAGAGAAATAGCTGCGGAAAAGGCATGCAGGGGGGAAGCAATGACATTTTAAGAAGGAAGGGGGTTAAGACACACATTTTAACTTGGCGTTTCCATACTTGTTTAAAGTTGCCTTCATTTGCTTCAGAAGGGAAGTACAGAAATACAATGAATAAATAACACACATTTATTTTAATTATTACATTTCTATTCTGCCCCAGAGCCAAAGGTCTCTGAGTTTATCACAAAACAAACTTAAATATGTAAAATACAAATAATAAACTCTTGACCTGCAGCTTCACCCTTTCAATTGGCCTTTCCCTGATTGCTCCCTGGTCTCTTGGCTACATTTATTTATTTATTTATTTTTATACTGCCCATGAGTCAAAAGACTGTCTGGGCACTTAACAAAGTTAAAAAGAACATATAAACAAAAAGTTAATTAATTTATGTTATGTTAGATATTTGTATTTTATTTGTGTAAGCTGTCCTGAGGCTCTTGCAAAGGACAGCATACAAATATCCTAAATAAATAGATAGATAGATAGAACAGAAATAACTGTAGAAAAATAAAACAACTCAAACAGCAGTAATAACAACTGCACAGCCACTGCAATTCAGTTGGCCCAGAGATACAGCAGCAATACATTATACAGGCTGTCCCCAGATTACAAATGAGTAATCTGTAAGTTGAATCTGCATGCAAATTGGACCACGTATAGTTGGCCCTCCACATTCGCAGAGGTTAGGGGTGCAAGACCCCTGTGACAGTGGAAAAACGCACCCAAATTCACCAGGGCCTCCTGTGCAGCAAGGAAATGGCAGAGAGATTTCCCCCTTTGGAAAGGCAGGGCAGGCAGGTGTGCTTTGGTGGCTTCCCTCTCTCCCATTTCGTTTCCTCTCCTCTATGGCGATTCTTTGCAGGCCTTTCCTCTCTCCCCTCTCAAGTCCTCCCCCCCTCCCCCCTATCTCTCTGGTAATGAAGACTTTCTGCAGTATATCTTTTTAAATGAATAGGCTTTAGGGCAGTTCATTTGTAAGTATGGGTGATTCATAACTCAGATGTTTGTAACTTGGGGACTGCCTCTATTAAAACTAAAGTAAAAATTAACTGCTAATACCTGGAAAATAAAAAGGTTTTCACTTGGTGCTGAAAAGAAAAGAGTAGGCACCAGACATACCTCTTTGAGGAGCTCAGTTCATAAATGGGCTTTCACAACTGCGAAGCCCTTCTCCTGGTTGCCGTCCTCTTTCCTTTGGAGGGGGCTCCCTGAAAAGGGCCTCAGAAGATGTTCTTAGGGCCCGACTAGGTACATATGGGATGAGGCGTTCCTTCACATAACCTGGCCCCAAGCGGTTTAGGGCTTTAAATGTTAATCTAGCACTCTGAATCAGGCTCGGACTTCAAGTGGCAACCAGTGCAGCTGAAAGAGGACTGGCATAATATGATCTCATGGCGTGGTTTCTGTTAACTGTCCTGTTTTGAAGCAGTTGAAGTTCCTAGAGCAGGGGACTCAAACTCAACTGACCTGGGGGGCCACTGGAAGTAGAGTCTGGGTGAGGCTGGGCCGCATCAAGTATTCCACCACTGCGGTGGTGGTGGGCCGCTCATCCCGCGTCGCTCCCGGAGGCCGGCCCAGGCACCACCGGTGCTTGGAAGGCTGCAAGGCCCCTTCCCCGTGCCCCACCGTCCCGGCAATTGGCCCGCGGGCCGCGAGTTTGAGACCCCTGTCCTAGACTGTTTTCAAAGGCAGCCCCACACAGAGTGCATTAGAGTAATCCACGCAAGAGTTACCAGAGCATGGATTACTGTAGCTAGGCTCAGTCCATCCAGATAGAATCTTAGTTGCCTCAGCTGATACAAAGTGCTTTTTACCACGGAGGCCACTTGTGACTCAAGCAACGGTTCTGGATCCAGGAGCACCCCCAAACTATGAACCCTGTCCAGAACAGGTTGACTGCCCCCCAGATCGAAAGGTGACCCACCCACAACAGTACCTCTGTCTTGTCTGGATTGAGTCTCAGTTTGTTGGCCCTCATCCAGTCTACCATGCTCAGACACTGATTCAGAACAGTCCCTGTCTCATCTGGTGTTAATAAAAAAGAGAGGTAGAACTGAGTGTCATATGGATAATGATGGTACCTCAGCCCATATCTCTGGATAGCCTCAGCCAGTGGTTTCATGTAGATGTTAAACAGCACAGGAGATAAAATGAAAACCTGTGGTACCCCATGGTATACCTGCTATGGCACAGAGCAATAATGCCCCAGCACCACCTTTTGGAATTGGGCAGTCAAGTAGGAGCAGAACCACCACAACACAGTACCTCCTACTCCAAAGCCAATCAGCCTATCCAGAAAGATACCATGGTCAATGGTATTGAAAGCTGCTGAGAGATCCAGGAGAATCAACAGGGTTGCACTCCTACGTCTTTCTCCTGGAAAGGTCATCCCACAGGGTGACCAAAGCAGATTCCATTCCAAAACCAGGCCTGAAGACTGACTGAAATGGAACTAGATTGTCAGTGTCATCCAAAACTTCTTGGAGCTGCTCAGGCACCACCTGCTCAAGAATCTTGCCTAGGAAGGGAGTGCTGACCACAGGCCCATAGTTGTTCAATCTTCTGGGTTCAAGCTAGACTTTCTCAGGAGTGGCTTAATCAACCTCTTTCAGAGAGGTTGGCATCACTCAGTCTGTCAAGGAGGCATTTGTAGCCTCCTGAACCCAAGTGTGAAACCCTTCTTTAGTTCTAACAATAAGCCATGATGGGCAAGGGTCAGGCAAACAGGTGGTGGGTTGAACTTGACCAAGCAACTTGTCCACATTCTCCTGCCTCAATAACTGAAGTTCATCCAACAAAACTGCACCAGACGGTGCTCTGGATACCTGTGTTAAAGGAACTGCATTAATTGTGGGGTCCAACTTGTGATGAATCTGAGTGAATTTATCTTCAAACTGCTGTGTAAATTCATTACAGTAAAAGAGTTCCATAGCTTCTTTCTCTGGCCCAGACTGTAAAAGGCCAGGAACCACTCGGAAAAGCTCTGCTGAATGGCACTGAGATGAACTCTCTCGTCACCACCTTCACTGTCACAGAATAGGCTTGATAGTGAGCTCTAGCCTATGTTCATTCGGATTCAGCACAAGTTTTCTTGCACCTCCATTCTAGCTGTCTCTCCTCTTGCTTTATTGCTCTCAGCTCAGGTGTATACCAAGGAACTGGCAGAGGTGTGCGCAAGGGAAGAGTGCTTGGGTGTGATCATGTCAAGCTTCTAAGCCATGGGTCTTCAGACTACGGCCCACGGGCCAGATCAGGCCCGCCATGCCCATTCATCCGCCTCAGAGGTGTTGGACATGCTGCGCGCATGGTGAGGCGATGCCTCGCTCGCGGGGAGATCGTTTTGGACTTGCTCGGAGAAAACGACGTTTGCGTGAGCAAGCCGTGGGATAGGGGCACCCCCTTGCTTCCCAAAGTTACCCAGAGACACCTCCAAATATACAGTAAAACAATTAAAAGATGTTAAAACCAACCAGCTGCTGTACCTCAGGCCAGTGAACTGCAGTTGCTGTGGGGTTGTCTTCCCCTCTGCCAAAAACCCCTGGCACCCAAACAGGTGCCAAATGGGCGATGCCCTTTGGCAGCCACCCAAGGCTGCTGCCCTAGATGCAGGTCCCCTGAAGAAGGCTGTGGTGGTGTCGGTACATGTCCAGCTCGGATCAATGGCATTACCAGGTTACGGGAATTCTGAACAAGTACACAACAGACGTCTCAGTTCCAGCACTCTCTAACTGAGGGTTGCGAACTTATTTCTTTGGCAGAACTTCTGCGTCTTTAACAATGGAATGAGAGGCACCTGCTGCACCGAGGAAAAGCTTTCCCTGGTCAACTTTAGCTTGCCATTCCGCTGTTGGAGGCACAAGGGTTTTGCCAGCTTGCAGCACATGACTGTAAATCAGTGATGGGAAAGAGTGTGCAGTTGCATCTTTCTCTATTATGGCAACTGC